TTGGAAACAGCCCATTTGCCCATCAGTTGGAGATTGGATAAAGAAGATGTGGTTTTTCTATAAAATGGAATGCTACTCAGCCATAAAGAATGAGAAATTAGATCTATTCATAGAAAAATGGATACATATTGAGGACATACTCCTAAGTGAAATAAATAAGTCACACATGTGTAAATACTGAATAGTTTCTCTGGTGTGAAAAACTATAATAGTACATAAGATCTTAATGAGTTAATTCACAATGTGAAATAGGAAGAAAAGGGCTAAAGGTAGAGAAAGTGGGAAGGGTAAGGGAAAGGTAATAAGGGAAAAGAAAAAAATATGAGAAAATGAAAAAAATGGAAATAAAGTGTTTGTAAATGGGGACAGGAGGAGGGGGTGAAGGAAGGACAGGGACAAGGGGATGTGAAATAGGAAGAAAAGGGCTAAAGGTAGAGAAAGTGGGAAGGGTAAGGGAAAGGTAATAAGGGAAAAGAAAAAAATATGAGAAAATGAAAAAAATGGAAATAAAGTGTTTGTAAATGGGGACGGGAGGAGGGGGTGAAGGGAGGACAGGGACAAGGGGGAAAAATGAGAACCAAGACTGTCGTGTAAAGGTACAAGATCCCAATAATGAATGTAACTGTACTGTATACCTAAAATGTACCAAGGAGGAGGGGGTGAAGGAAGGACAGGGACAAGGGGAAAAAATGAGAACCAAGACTGTCATGTAAAGGTACAAGATCCCAATAATGAATGTAACTGTACTGTATGCCTAAAATGTACCAATAAACTCAATGAGGGGAAGAAAGGATATTACCAGAATATAGTCCCCAAATTGTTAATTATTCATTTGTTTATTTAACAAAATGTTCTCTGCCAAATCTCATGGGCCCAGGATATTACCAGAATATAGTTCCCAAATTGTTAATTATTCATTTGTTTATTTAACAAAATGTTCTCTGCCAAATCTCATGGGCCCAAGGTCCAGTGAAGTAGGAAAGCCCTGATTTTTTTAATGTCATACTTTGACTTTCATTTCTTATCTGGTCTTGATGGTCACGTTCTGTTCAGTTTTAGAGATATTCGCTGGGGGGCCAACCCAGCTGCCCCCTTGGTCTTGAGTGGTAGGACTTCTCTTTAAGGACCAAGCTGGTTCCATTGTGTGCTACCTCAAGGAGAAGAGACTGGCTTGAGACTCAGTAATCAGGAAATAAAGTCACTACCAAACTGCACCATGATCCCTGGTGATTGTACCCCACATTACTGGTATTTCTCCCTTTCTTTCTCTGAAGTTAAATTTCCAAAATCTGGAGAGAAAGAAATTCTTAGGGTTTTATTTCAGCCTTTACAACCCCTGCAATTTCCATTTGAACAGCTAGTTCCAAACAAAGAATTTGTTTTTTACATCAGAGACTATGTCATCATGGAGACTTCAAACCAAAGGGGAAAAGGTAATATAAACAATTAGTTCTGATTATTTAACCCCTATCATTTTATTTTGTGTTTTCTTTTCTGAGACAGGGTTTTGCTATGTAGGTCGGCTATCTCTGAGCTCACTGTGTAGCTTAGGCTGGCCTGGAACTCGTGATCTTCCTGCCTCAGCCTCCCAAGTGCTGGCACTACCGGCGTGCACCACGACACCAGGCCCCCCTGTGTTTTTTTTTTTTTCCTTGGGCGGGTACTGTGGATCGAACTCAGGACCATGTCCTTTCGAAGCAGGAGGCAGAACCACTGAGCTAAATACCTGTCCCGCTGTGTTTTCATGCCTCATTGTTGCATGACACTGGCTTTACAACAACATATATAAAAGTAAAACCAAAATTTTGGAACTTGAGCAAGTTGTGCCTTTGTCACACTGAAAGAAAAAGAAGTAGTGTCAATACCCTCCATATGGATTTTAGTTAAAATCCCTACAATTTCAAAGAACAGGAGACCCCTCTCGCTGGTTTAGAGACAGTTGGCAGGTGGGCAGTATCCAGGACGGTGTGGCTCTGGGGCATTGTGCTGTACACAGGAGGCACTGCTTTATACTTTCTCTCTTCCAGAAGCTTCTTTCCTGGCTACTGTTAAGTGCCATGCCCTCTTGACCCTAGTTTACCAAGGCTCCCAAGGCCCAAGTTTGCTACCAGCCCACCCTGTGTCACTGCCTTTTGGTGCCGCTATGTGGCCTGAGGGAGGAAGGCACCCTGTGAAAACATGGCCCCTGCACCCCAAGCCATGGGTGGGTCAGTATCCCTCAGAGGGAGCTGTGGGTAAGTGGTCAACCTGCCCTGACACCTCAGTACTTCATTTTCTTTTCCCTTCTGTGTCCAGAAAGAGTTTTTTGAAGAAGTCAGCCAGAGTGGCAGCCGGGCCCAGATTTCTGTTAAAGTCTACAACGCCACGTACTCAGTGAGGATTGCGGCTGTCACTAAAGGGGGAGTTGGGCCTTTCAGCGACCCGGTGAAGATATTCATCCCAGCACAGGGTGAGAGCAGGGCCCTTACTGGTGGGTGGAATGTGCTAGGCGTTACAGACTGCTAAAGGGGAGGTAGCCTATGGTGCAGTAGCGGATTCAAGAATGAAAAATAAGGACCCAAAGGAATTTTTGCAGTGTTAAAGACTGTTGCTATAACACACTTCCTCTTCATAGAATCCCCTCACCCACGGGTCCTGCTACCATTACTATTAATGGTAATAACCTAGTAGGATCAGTCCTTTCAGAATGCCAAGTCTGATTTGTTGCATGTAGTTTAAATGAAAGATGCATGACAGAATTTCAGACAGGCAGTATGGCTAATCCTTAGCTCTGTCGCTGGCACTATTTATTCATCAGTGTTTGTTTTGCTGTGTTTTAGGCCATGCTGCTTGCCTTGTTTTTACCAATTCAGCCCTTGGGTAATGCACTTTATAACTCGGTCTGCACAGAGCATCAAGTGTTTCCAACAGAAGCCCTGGGCTGATTGAGCTAAATGCCCAGCCACGTATGCTTTCATGTGTTGCTGGAACCTTTTGGCAAGGTGCCACCACAGTGCCTGGATGTTCGAGTGCTGTGTTTACTTCCCTAGACCAGTGGAGCCACTTTTCTTCTAGCTCAGATCAGCCTTGGGTTGTTTGATGTTAGATCACTGCCATAAAATCCATACATAGTTATCTGTATCAGTGTAACCTCTATGTTTACAAGTTCTTGTCAAACAGTCTCTGTACCTGGCAGCAGGAGATTGCGTATGTGGTTGAGTTCCTGTCTATCTGTTCTCAGTGACCCTCAAGCTGCTCCCCCTCTTGGTGCCCAGTTGGAATCAAGTTATTTCCCTGCACTTGCAGCCTCAGCATCCAAGCAGCACAGTTATTGGTGATGGGGAGACAAGCTGTGGAAGCCTAGTAGAAATTTGAAGTCAAGGAGATTCTGATTCTGAAGAAACAGCTTTAAAGATATCAGGGCTGAGATGGCAGAACCTTCACCTTCAAGCATGATAAACTCTCTAAAAGGTGTAAGCTTTGCTATATGGGCAGTCTTTGTTTTGCATAGCTTCAGTAAGCACAAATATAGATCACTGTAGTTCCCCCACTATGTGGTTCAAATCTTAGTTAATCTTCAGGCTGGCTTTCAGTCTGCGAGTCACCAGTTGTGCATGATGATTTGAAAGTCTCTCACTGATTACTGACCATGCACATCCTGCAAAGGCTCATGGCTGTGTCATCTCCCTGTGCCCTAGTGATGAACCTGCATGAGTTTTACAAAACTGGAGCATTGAAAGACTGAGTTGGTGAACAAAGTGCAACAAAGAAATGAAAAATGGTGGTGTTGGGGTGAAATTTGACCCGAGCGTAAGTGGACTGTAGGGAACTGATACTGCTGGCACTGAGTAGACTCATTGTGCAGCTGAGCAACTTAGGGAAGGTCAGTTTATTGGCATAAATACGGTGTCCTAGAAAAAGTGACACCAGGAAGAAAAACCTCACTTTGGGGGCTAAGGGTGTGACTCAGTGGTAGAGCCTCACCTGCCTCGTGTACAGTCCTGGGTTTCATTCCCAGCACCACAGAAGGAAAGAAGAGAAGGGAGGAGAGAGAAGAGAAAAATAAGAGAAGAAACATTTTATAGGAATTCTCAGAGATACTTTATAACTTTGAAAGTATAAAATATAAAACATTGCAAGTTGATCCAAACTTGAAAAGGACTCTGGTAATTCTCTACAATGCATAAAATATATTTTCTGTGCCTTAAATTAATAAAGAAGACACACTATCAGACTATTGATAGATTTTTACAAAGGAAGTTGATTCCTAATGTGTCTAATGTTTTAAATTACAGGGCACCAACCAAATATTTCTTTTACTAGTTATTTTGGTCCTGCACATTTATAACCAACATGGAGAATTTTCTGCTGGTTATTATTTCTTAAAATTGTATGTATTTATGGACATAATGTGATGTTTTGACATACACATATTTTGTGGAATGATAGAATCATTCTAGTCTTATTGATTATCAAGAATGTTCTGAGCTGGGTGTGGTGGCACATGCCTGTAATGCCAGCATTTTGGGAGGCTGAGGCACAAGGATCGCATGTTTGAGTCCTCCCTGGGCAGTTTAGTGAAACCCTGTCTCAAAATAAAAAATAAAAATAACAGGATCAGCTCAGTGCAAAGGCCCTGGGTTCAATCCCCATGCTCCCATCACCACCACGTACACACAGTAGAGGACTGTCTATATTTCTAGATCACAAAAGATGAACAGATGAACCTGGTTCTAAAAGCTTTTTGCTATTGCCCTTTCCTATGCAAGCCAGTGCTACGTGTGCGTTTACAATCCCGAAGAAGCTCCTGCCCTGACTGTGCCCTGTGTTCCAGGTGTGGACTCCGCCCCGTCCTCCACCCCGGCGCCCAGCAGCGCGGACCCCGTGCTAGTTGTCCTCGGCTGCCTGTGCGGATTTATTCTCATTGGGCTGATTTTATACATTTCCCTGGCCATCAGAAAAAGAATGCAAGAGACGAAGTTCGGGTAAGTTTCCTGGTGAAAGACGTTGGTCCAGTGTCACAGATGAGGTTGTTACAAGTGACAAAGCAGGTTGGCCTGCTGCTCACCTTCCACCCAACGGGGATCCCCACTTGTGCGAGCTTCAGCCAGGCAGCTTCTGTAGTGGGCGCTTCCAGCACTGGCCCGGCCAGGAAAGGGCACCTCCACGAAGAAGAGTACTCAAAAGGGCTCAAATGAGAATTTTTATTAGAGGCCATTAAAAAGACCCCAGAAAGCCCGCGCTTGTAATCCCAGAACTCGGGGCTGAGGTAGGAGGATCTCAAGTTTGAGCCTGCCTCAGCAACATAATGACTTAGCAAGACGCTGTTTAAAAAAAAAATTTTTTTTAAACTTTGTTAAAGGGTGGAGATAGTCCCCAATGGGAAGGCCATGAGCTCAACGCTCAATACTGCCTAAAAATACATGCGCGCGCACACACACTTATGTATATATGTGCTGAGCATCCCTAATCTGAAAATCTAACATCCAAAATGCTCCAAAATCCAAAGTTTTTTGAGTGTCCAAAATCATGCTATACCACAAAACTTGTTTCATGCATAAAATCGTCACAAATATTGTATAAAATCTTTAAGCTATGTGCATAAGGAATGTATGAAATATAAATAAACGCGCACACACACTTATGTATATATGTGCTGAGCATCCCTAATCTGAAAATCTAACATCCAAAATGCTCCAAAATCCAAAGTTTTTTGAGTGTCCAAAATCATGCTATACCACAAAACTTGTTTCATGCATAAAATCGTCACAAATATTGTATAAAATCTTTAAGCTATGTGCATAAGGAATGTATGAAATATAAATAAATTTTGTGTTTAAAGACTCTACATCACCAAAGCACCAGCAACTCTAACTAGTATTATTGTAGGTGACCTGGCTTTCTTTCTCTCTTTTTTTCTTCTTGCTATATTAGCAAATTTCCTATAATGAGCAGTTATTTTTGTAACAGAGAACTTTACATTTTAACATTCAAGTTAAGGGTGGAAGCTCTTTTTCTTCTTTTCTGTATGTTACTTTTATAGCAAACACCTGGTTAAATTTCAGCAATAAGGAGAAGCTGTTTTAAAGCAGCCTGTGAAAAGAAGGCTCTATAAATGTCATTTCTGGACCTCAGTCTTCACTCAGGGCTCTGCAATGGATTTGGATTTCCTTGACATTCACTATCAGTCATGGGTCAGGAGGAAGTATTTTGTATAAGGCAAGTTGTCAACAGGAATGCGGCGGAGCAGGGTGGTGGTGGCTGTGTTTGGAGGGGACTGAGCAGCCCTCTTTCATTGCTCCACCTGCAGAGCACACTCAGAGCTTCCCATGCCCTCCAAGACTTCCCAGGCGTGGGTAGGGGCTTGCAGGTGGAGGCCAAACCACCATGCACCTTGTCCATTGTCTTGGGGTTGGTTACCAACAGTTTCTGGAACTCTTTTCGTATAATTAGGATATCTTAGTATATAAATTCTATGAATTTCTTTTTAAGGAAATGAACAAAATCTGACCCAAATCCTCAACAGAGCTGACCAAAATGCATTGCAGGTCCTGGGTGTGGCATGCAGTTCACCATTAGACAAGTATGAGAACCTCTACAGAAGGTGCGAGAGTAGCTCATTCATATACTGACAACTAGGCAGGGTGGGAGCCTGGGGTTCAATGGGAGCAACGTCCTATCCTTGGGCACTCACAGTTCAGGGGGAGTCAGCATAGTCAAGCAGTCGCACAAAGAAATACACAATGACAATGGTGGTAACTTCTACATGAAGCAATAAGAGTATGTACCAGGGGAAATTGGCTGGGTTAAGAAAATCAAGGAAGGCCTCCCTGCAGAGGTGATGTCACCTGACTCAAGACCTGAAGAAAGAGTAGGTACCCATTAGATCGGAGAGAAGGGAAATAGCATTCCAGCCAGAAAGAACATGCAAAGGCCTTGTGGTGCGTGGAGCCTGACGCATAAAGGAGGGAAGCACTATACTGAAGTTGTAACACCTGGGTCCCAGCATTGATTCTGCCACTTGAATGAGCCTTTTACCTTTTCCAGGCTTCCTTGGTATTATGTGACTGAATGGTCTCCAAGTTCACTATGATTCTAATTGCTATGACCCTGAACCTCATATTTATATGCAGTCAGCAATGAAGAGATGGTCTTAAAATGCTGATGGTCTTAAGTATCAGTGGCAGAAGGCAGCTTGTGTCATCAAGTGGGAATTCTTGATTAATATTGTCGAAACAATAGTTGTAGAATGATTCACAGATATGCAACCGAACCTTGCTATTCAATTGCTTTGAAATCATTGAATTTGGCACATTTTGAAGTGAAAATTGTGTCTCAGTACTCTATAAGAATGCTGGAGCTTGTCAGTGTCGCTTGTGTGACTATTTCCAGCCAAAACAATTTGTTTCATACTCTTCATTTCTGGTACTCGTTGCATCTCCCAGAACTAATTAATGAAGAGTACCCAGGTACCACCTCTTATGAAGGGTCAGTAAAAAGAAAGCCAAGAAAGCAGTAGTGAGTTGTCCTGCTGGAGATCTTAAATTCCCAGGAGACTCCTCAAATGTGTGGCTAAGGTAATCCTAGAGGACATAGGTATTTGCTCTGGGGACAATATCAAAAGGATGTCCTTTGCATTTTGAGCCTTTTGCCAAGAGATTTAAGAACAGCAGCAGCTCTTGAAAACTCATTGTCTTTCTGTTGCTGCTGCTTAAATCTTGGCCTTGGCTCCCTCCTTTCTTGCTTCCTTTAAGAAGAAATTTAAATTTTTAGGACATTATCATGAAAATATTTTTATTCTTTTGAAATACATTGAGGGGCTGGGGATTAAGCTCAGTGGTACCGCTGCCTGCCTTGCAAGTGCAGGGACCTGAATTCAATCCCAAGTACCCCCCCAAAAAATTAAATACATTGAAGGCAAAGTACTAGAATGAATTCCACCCACAATAACATGAAAAGTATACTAAAAGTATACTATTTCTAAGAATAAACCCCAATAGAAGTGCAAGAGCTTTTTTTTTTTTTTTTTTCCATATCAGGGATTGAACTCAGGACCAAGGCAGGGAGTGGCATCACTGAGCTAAATCCCCCTCCCATGGAAGAGCTTTTTTTGGGGAAAAAAAATTATTAGACTGTACTGACTATGCTGACAAGAACTTGAATACTTGGAGAGACACACATACCACATTCACAGATGGGAAGGCTCAATATTGTTAAGAGATCACATTCCCTCAAATGAACCACAAATTCAGTGTAATCAGCCAGACATGGTGGTGCACGCCTGTAATCCCAACACTCCAGAGGCTGAGGCAGGAGTTCAAGGCCAGCCTGGGCTACATAACAAGACCCTGGCTCTAAAAAAAAAAAAGAAAGAAAATTCAGTGTAATTACCATTAAAATTGGTGCTGGGTTATTGATGAAATGTACTAAGCTGATTTGGGAAATCATCTGGAACACTAAATATGTACAAAAGTCCAGATGGAGGGGATTGGTCTCTGGTTCTTCTAGACATAAAAACATGTTTGGCATTGGTGCAGACAGTGAGACCTCAGTCCATGGACAGCACTGGCTGTCCACTTATAGGGAGGAATTGAGTGTAGGTTGAAGATTGAATTTTATATCTGGAGAAAGGAAGGAATGTTTTACAAAAAGGGCCTGGGATTTAGTTCAGTGGTTCTACTGCCTGCCTCACAAGCGCAAGATCCTCATTTCAATCCCCAATACCAAAACTAAACAAAAAAACAACAAAAACCCAGCCTCATCTAGAAAGAAATGAGCAAGTCAGACGTGGGTCTGCCCACATTTTGCTTATTGTAGGCTTGAAACTAAGAAATATAGAAGAAAATGCTTTATTTGAATATATTTCTATCATTAAAGCCTCATGGACTCATAAATTTAACACTAAAATAGATTTCAGATATTAGCTAATTGACCCTCAGTTGTAATATTCTGGGAAAAGTTGGGATGAAAATTACAGAATTTAAGTATGCTGGTAACTCTAATATGTATCTTTTGCAGTACATAGCTTGGGAGTCATTGAGGTACTCCAAAATAAACTAAGAAATGATGTGATTGACAGGAATCTTCTAATTCTTGGAAAAATTCTGGGGGAAATTAAGCAGCCTCTGTATCCCTATTTTTATTGTATAAATGTCTCTTTCATCCTCTCAGGACTGCATTCACAGAGGAGGATTCTGAATTGGTTGTAAATTATATAGCAAAGAAGTCTTACTGTCGGCGAGCCATTGAACTTACCTGTAAGTTGACTTTCATTTTGCTTTTGGCCAAAGTTAAAATAGTGAAGAGCCAAGGGAGAATGAACAGACAGCCTTCTGACAAAAGTCAAGAGTTTGAGTGGATTCTTTATCTGGGTGTGGTGGTACACACCCACAATCCCAGCACTCTGGGAGGCTGAGGCAGGAGGATCACAGGGTTTTTTTTTTCATTGTAGATTATGCTTGGTTTTTTTTTTCTCATTGAGTTTATTGGTACATTTTAGTTATACAGTACAGTTACATTTATTATTGGGATCTTGTACCTTTACATGACTGGTCTTGGTTCTCATTTTTGCCTCTTGTCACTGCCCTCCCTTCACCCCCTCCTCCCCTCCCCATTTACAAACACTTTATTTCCATTTTTTCATTTTCTCATATTTTTTCTTTTCCCTTATTCCCTTTCCCCTACCATTCCCACTTTCCTTACACCTTTAGCCCTTTTCTTCCTATTTCACATTGTCTATTATCTCATTAGGATCTTGTGTACTATTATAGTTTTTCACACCAGAGAAACTATTCGGTGTTTACACATGTGTGACTTATTTATTTCACTTAGGAGTATATCTTCAATATGTAAGGAGGATCACAGGTTTAAGCCCAGCTCTGGCAATCAATTTAGTGAGACTCTATCTCAAAATAAAAGAACTGGAGCATAGCTCAGTGCAAAGGCCTGGGATTCAATCCTAAGTACCATCACACACAAAAAGAGAATGGATCCTTTTAATGTACAAAACGTTGTCACAAACGAGCAGGTAGGTAGACACTGTCACATACATCCCAGCTGGCTGGGTTAGTTACTGGAAATGGAATTGAATCTGGAGTTAAGATGCCAGGTTTCAGGATTCATAAAGCCATAAAATGTGGAGGAAAAGAGAAACCTTCTAGGAGATGGGGTAAAGGTCAGAGATTTAAAGGAAATAGCAAAGCAATGGACATAATCTCAAACTTCATTTCCTAACCTCCCAGCAAGCAATTCAGAGGACTATTTGTCAACATGCTTTGTAGCAATTATGGTTTGAACTTTGCGAATCAGAGAACAGGGCCTTCTGGTCAAAAGAGAATGAACAGATTAACAATGTTCTTGAGTAACTTTAGAAACAGTGTAGAAAGTATATATAAATGTTATCACATTTGTGCTCCTGGATGTTTGCCCAAACAAAACAATAAGGACTTAAGAATGTTGAATGACTTCTATGAAATCCAAACTCACTTAATAAAGATATTAATTTCTTTATTTTTCTAATCTATATGTTTTGATGGTTAGCTGTCTGTATTCTTGCATTTTTAAAAATTATTGATTTAGATATTTTTTTCCTTTATTGAAGGACCATTTGGGTATTTTTTTTTCTAAGAGCTACTATGTCCTTTCTAATTATTCATATATCTTTTCTTTCAAAGACCTTAACTCGTGTATTAACTGTGGCTTAGACTGAATCATTTGCCAAATTACTGCAGAATCATTCTCCCCTTTCCTGGTGAATTCTTATTGACAACAGTTACTGTCAATGGTACATATCTTTTATGTACTTTATTACATTACGTTCCTTACTGTAGACAATCTTACTCTCCAGTCCCCCAAGGTACTCCATTCAGCACTTCCTGCATCCTTCTAGTGAGGTGCCCTGTAACCATGCGTAGGACAACAGCTTGTTCCTGGGGTTGTTTCCTTTGGGTCATGCACCTCCTTTGGCCAGGGGTCAGGGGAGGTGTCCTCATAGCCTTTTATATACCATAGTTAGGGCTATAAATAGTAAGTCCACCTGCAAATGCCTATTGATTTATTTTCCTTACTCCTTTAAGCCAGGGGCAAAATCCTTCTGCATGAGTCTGCTGCCTGCTGCTATTGCACAATGCGAAGAGAAATATGGTTCTGATTTTTTCTATAGTTGTTCAAAATTAGTCTTGCTCTGAAGGATTCATTTTACTTACTTTAACCACAATAGAATGAAGTGTGATTTTTTTTTGAAGTGTGATGTTTTAATATTGGCATTTTTAGAAAAATGGATACAAATAGAACACACATGTGTAAATACCAAATAATTTCTCTGGTGTGAGAAACTGAAAGTGTAAATAAGGATCAAAATGGATATGGATAATATGAAACAGGAAGAAAAGGTCCAAAGGAGTAGGGGAAGTGGGAGGTATAGGGAAAAGGAAAGGAAAAAATGAAGACAAAGTGTTTGTAAATAGGAAAAGGTAGAGGGCTTGAAGGGAGGGCATGGGAATGGGGAAACAAGAAGAATCAAGATATATCATGTAGCCGGGGATTTATCTCAGTGGTTCCACCACCTGCTTCGCAAGCGCAAGGACCTGAGTTCAATCCCTGGTACCAAAAAAAAAAAAAAGAAAGAAAGAAAAGAAAAGAAAGATATATCATGTAAAGGTTCACATTCCCAATGATGAATGTCATCATATTGTAACTCTAAAATGTACCAGTAAACTTAATGAATAAAAAAATATAAAAATGTTTAAATGTATAACTGTTATATAGAATTTTAAATATAATTCTAATTATATTTAAATAAAAGAAAACATGCTAATAACTCTATGTTACTTTTATAGTACAGAGCTTGGGAGTCAGTGAGGAACTACAAAATAAACTAGAAGATGTTGTGATTGACAGGAATTTTCTAATTCTTGGAAAAGTCCTGGGGGAAGGTAAGCAGTTTAAAGTAGTTCTCTTAAAATGTAAGGCAAGAAGGAGCAATTAAGAGGAATGTATACTGATTAAATAAAATACCATTTTGATGACTTTAAGTTATAACACAAGTAGTTCTACCTAATAATTTACAGTAGATTATTGATTTTTGAAACTCAGATTTGGCTATGAAAATAGTCTCTACGGGCCCCAGAATACACAATGGACTAGAAAAATATTAATTCCTTTCCCTCATTGAAAAGCATACATTTATTAATTTGCGTCCTACATTCTTTAAGTTTGTTTCTGTAGTTCTTAAAGTGATTATTCTTTGGGCCTTCTTAATTAAATATGAGGTGTGATCAAAACATAGGGTGAATGTTTAAAATTTTAAAACATTTGTTACACAGTAAAAGACATGTTGCTATTAATCCTCTTCAAAATACTCCTTCCTTTGAACACACTTGTTCCTTTGTTCTTGCCACTTTTTTTTTTAGACAGGATCTTGTTAGGTATTGCAGGCTGGCCTTGAACTCTGTGTCCCAGGCTGGCATCAAACTCACAGCGATAGTGCCTCAGCCTTCTGAGTGCTGGGAAAACAAGTGTGCACCACCACATGTAGCTTTCTTGCCACTTTCTAAAGCAGTTTTAGAAGTCCTTTTCTGCGAGTGTCTTTAGTTGTGCCGTTACGGCTTGATGTACTGAGTCAATTCAAAACATTTGCATATCATAATCCTTTTGAATGAGGAAGAGCCAGAAGTCTCATTGTGCCAGATCTAGAAAATAAGGTGGACAGGACCAAGGATTTAGCTCAGTGGTTCCGCTGCCTGCCTCACAAGCACCAGGTCCTGAGTTTGATCCTCCAGTATCAAAAGAAAAGAAGAAAAGAAGCAAAAAAAGGAAAAAGAAAATAAGGTGGATGAGGAAAAAACATAATGCTTTCTTTTGACAGAAATTGCTATAAATAGTTTCACTTCAGGACACTGAGGCAACCATGAAAGGACCCTCACAAAGAAGATTTCTAGAACTGCTTCAGAAAGTGGCAAAAATGATGGGATACGTGTGTTTAAAGGAAGGAGGTTTTGGAAGGCAATTGATGGTAATGTGTCTTTTATTGTAATAACACTTTTAAAATTTGTGTTTAAACATTCACCACTTTTTGATGGCACTGAGTAGGTACAAAGATGAAATATTTATTTAAAGTGTTAAATTATTCTTAGGGTGAATGCTAATGCCACTAAGAGTTTGTGCTTTATGAACCTCAGTAACATTCCCCATGTTCTCCTATAAGAATCTGGGTCAGCTAAGTGTTCAGTAAAGTGAGAAGCTGTGCCAAGGCTGAGCCCCCAAGCCCAGGACGAGCAGGAGCCAGGACACAACAGTGTCTGGTTGTGAGGCCTGGGTGGTCCTGCCCGCTGCTGGGGACGAGTTCCTGGGCCACATGAACACAGCCTGGAGCTGTGACATCTCTGCCACTGGAGGGACAGCACGGAAGCTACACGGGCACTCTTCCCCTCACAGGAGAATTCGGGTCTGTGATGGAAGGAAACCTGAAGCAGCAGGCTGGGACCTCTCAGAAGGTGGCAGTGAAGACCATGAAGTGTGAGTTGTCGGGGCGGGGGCAGTGTCTTGGGACAGGGGGGGGCTTCAGCCCTGGTGCTCTGTGAGGCCAGGACGGTGTGCAGGGCTCTGCTGCGGCTCTCCATACCTGCACTGTGTGCTCTTTACACACCGAACACTGACACAGTACTGAGCATCTCTAGCATTCTGTCTGCCTCCATTGTTGTCATCGTCATCAGCAGCAGCGGTGGCGGTGTCATGGTCCAGTCGAGCTGATGACTCCAGAGTAAGGTACAAGACTCTGAGGCAAGGGTCGCCGATGCCAGCATCTGACCCATCTCTCTAGTTTGATAAAGCCGCTTCCTCGTTTGAAGATTTTTGTCCTAAATTTTCTAAGAAAAAGATTAGCATATATGAAGCCCACAGAATGGCACAAAACACCACACTAGTTACCCTCATGTGCGATATCAGCCATCTGTTTTACCCTGGTAACTGCCCTACCAGAAGTCTGGCTTGATGACTTACCCGTTTGCTTTTCAGTGTGGTAAAATGCGCAGAAGGTAAAGGTGCTGTCTTAACCACTGCTAAGTGCTCAGGCCCATGACAGGAAATACATTCACACTGCGATGTAACTGCCACCATCAGCCGTCTCCAGAACGTCTCATCTTGTGAACCTAAAATTTCCCATTACACATTAACTCCCCTTCTCTCTCCCTTGGTCTCTCTCTAGCCACCTCCATTCTACTCTCCTGTCTCTGATTTGATTACTCTAAGTACCTCTGAGAATTGAAACCATTTGTCCTCTCGTGATTGACTTCATTTCATAATAAGAGCATAATACTGAATTTTAAGCAGCTTCCTTAAATTAATGTCCTTCCAAAAACTTGGTATCAAAGTACACCCAACTTAGAATGCATGAATAAGCAGCCAGACTTGCAGGATACAGAGACAGAAAGGGAGAGGTGTGATTTTTTTTTTTTAAAGGTAAAGATAATTGCAACAGATCAGTTGGAACTGCCTTTAGTTTGGAGGATTTTTTGTTGTTTTCTTTACCGATAGACCTTAATTTTTATAGTATCTTTGGATTTACAGAAAAATTGGGCAGAAACTACAGTTTCCATAGATTACCCTTCTCCCACGCACCATTTTCCCTTTCACTAATATTTTTCAGTAGTGTAGCGTATGTTTTACCATTGATGAATTCATATGATCACATTATTAACTAAAGTCCTGAGTTTACACTTGAGTTCACCCCTGGCACTGTGTAAGGTCATGGATTCTCACAAACATACAAAAGGCCACTGTTGGTATCATACAGAATAGCTTCATGTCCCTGAAGTTCCCCTGTGCTTCATCTGTTTTTCCCTCTCTCCCCACAACCCTATCACCCCTGACAACCACTCATTTGCCTTCTGTATATATAGTTGTGCTTTTTCCTGATTTTACTTTAGAGAACAAAGTTGTTGCTGCTCTGCATGCTCCCTTTAACTGAATAGAGTAACTGTACCTTACATTTTTCATCTGTTTCTAGTGGACAACTTCTCGCAGCGGGAGATAGAGGAGTTTCTCAGTGAGGCAGCGTGCATGAAAGACTTCAGTCACCCTAATGTCATCCGACTTCTTGGTACCTTGGGGAGATGGTGGGTCGGGAGCTAGGAGGGCTTGGGTAATTGTACTGTGTACCAAAGGGGAAAACCTTTGGTGTGTGTAAGTTTACACATTGCATAACATCAAAAAAGCATGCTTTCTTATCCAGACCACTTCTCCTTCTGTTTCTGTTTTCTGGGGCTGATACAGATGTTTTCAGCCCTTTGGATGGGTAGAGGGTCCACAGAGCTTCACAAGACTATAGGTGAGAGCAGCCCCTGTTACTCAAAGGCAAGACACATGAACTGGCCATGTGATAATCTTTGATTTAAGGTTGTGCATAAATCAGATATCAGGGAGGTAAAGCTATAAAAGTTAACAAATAATTTATGAACATACTTCAAAGTCCTGATTTATGATTGTGCTACATTGACCACTGACTATTTCATGAGTTTGATTTAATGTAATTTCCCTCTTTATAGCCCTGTTAGAAAGTACAAAAAGAGGAGATTCAGTGGGAGCTGTAAAAGTACACTTTTTTTTTTTTTTTTAATTTGGCAGTGCTAGGGATTGAATTCAGGACCATGTGTATGCTGGGCAAGTGATCTACCACTGAGCCACTTTCCAGCCCAAGTGACACTATTCTAAGAGAAAGGAACGGCCTGGAAAGCAAAAAAACTTTCTGCTGAGTTTTTTCTTCTGTCCTGGCTTGATGTATAATAAATTCTTTGGGGAATTTTTCAGATTCTTTTGGGATTGACACTGTAGAAAGATATAAAAACAAACAAATGTTTGGATATCATGTCAAAGAAATAGCTATTCTTTACTTGCAGCTATTGGTTTTAGCAGACTCTGAGAACAATCATACTTTGTATAAGCACTTTGCCAGGCTAGGATCAAGTGACAGGCTCCACTAGTTCTGTATTATAGCTTTGAGTTGTATAACAGCTAACATTTAGGGGAGTGGATTTTACCTACAGACCCTCAAAATTTGAGGGGGGATGTGCTGGGGTTTAAACCCATGCCATAAAGACATGTTGTGTCACTGAACTACACCCCAGTCCCCCAAATTCTTTCAGTAATTTAAAGCATGTGGTTGCAGTAGACTTCTTCATATGATTCAGTATTTATCACATGAAACCAGTTTGCCCTCGAATTCTAAGACAGTTACTACCCTCAGTTACATTCAGCCCAACAAAAACTCCTAGATCTCTAGGTGGCTGTATTTACTACAAGTTGACTTTTTTGAGAGCTCACATGCAAGACTGCCCCTAATTTGAAAGAGGAAAAAAATAAATGTGTAGTAAGCCTGTGTGTGTTTAATCGTCTAGGACACTGTGGGACCATTAACTTGGCAGCACCTGGTTTCAATTCAGCCAGTAGTCCTCCAGGGCTTTTTTGGTCCCATGAAACAAGGGCTCTTTGTGACTGGTTCTGTTTCTAATTCCAGGCGTGTGTATAGAAATGAGCTCTCAAGGCATCCCAAAGCCCATGGTGATTTTACCCTTCATGAAATACGGGGACCTGCACACCTACTTACTGTACTCCCGACTGGAGACGGGCCCAAAGGTAATGGTCCCTGTGCCACCTCCAGATGGTTCTGGGTCTTCCTTCCATGGGGCAGCCCCAGGCGACTTCAAAGACACAGGGGAAAGGGAAAGCACATTGCTCTTTGTTCTGTTCCCCTGTGTGTCTGGGCTTGACCTGTGGTGTCCATCCTCACAGCAGGCCTGCTCATGGGGATTACTGTCTCTGACTTATGGCAGGGGGAAGCTGGATGGGCTCACAGCCTTGTGGCCAAGGCCTCAATGACTCTGAGATCTGGTGGCCCAGCTCCTAGTCTGCACATCATGCCTGTCATAGGCCTAGACTCTTCGGAGCTTGCTAATAGCTGTTCTAGCCCAGCATGCTGGCACATGCCTTAGTCCCACCACTTGGGAGGCTGAGACAGGAGTATCATGAGTTGAAGCCCAAATGACTGTCCTAAAAGAAATTTTGCAGAGCTCTTCTCGATGTTATGGATTTCATCCTTTGAAGTGTGACCGATTTTTTTTTTTTTGAATATTACTTTCCTGATAGGTTTTTTGTTTTTGTTTTGTGGTACTGGGGATTGAACCCAGGGCCTTTGCACTGAGCTATACCCCAGCCCTTTTATTTATTTGTTTTGAAACTGTGTCTCACCAAGTAGCTAAATTGCCCAAGCTGAGTATGAACTTGTGATTGTCTTGCCTCAGCCTCCCAGAATACTGGGATAACAAGCGTGCACTTTCACAACTGGCTCCTGATAGTCTTAATCTAGTAAAAATCAGTTGTAGTCGAATATGGTGAGACAAGAGAACTGCATGTGACAGTCTTACAATGTCTGTAACATTGTCCTTGATGTTTAGGCTTCTGGCCATGAGGATGGTGCAGTCTAGCAATTTGGGATGTCACTGTAGAGGCACTTATGGATCACCTAGGAAGTTTAGCACAGACTTAGAGGCTTGCCTCTTAGGGGCAGTTTTTAGTTTTGACTTCAAAAGATTGCTTAGTTGATGGAGACATGGCCTTGGGGCCTCATGGCCTGGAATGCAAACTGTGTCCTCCTGTCCTGTTGCCTGTGGACTGGGCAAGAGGTGTGCATTGTGCCCTACCTGTACGCCGGGGCTTTCTTTTCTTCCTGCCTTTTCTGTGTTAGTAAAAGCAGAGGTATTCTCTAACACCATCCCCTTTGTTCCTTTAGCTGCCGTCACTAGCAGGACTCAGGTGAGTGCAATTAGAAACACCTGCTTCCCTTTTCCCTTTCACAAATTGTGCTAGAACTCTTTGTCTAATCCTAGTTTTTATTGTTTAAAAAAGGTTTTTCTCCTGTTTTTCTTTTAAAAAGTGTGAGTTTTTCCATGGTACATTTGCATATAGGACCCATTTTGAGTTAAATTTTGTATAAGGTATGAGATTCACTTGTGGGTTCTGGGTGGGTTTTTTTGTTTGGGGTTGGGTTTTTGCATATAGATAATGATTGTTTATAAGAAAACCGCATATCCTTACTCCACTGAACTACTTTCATGCCTTTGTATGAATCCAGTTGGCTGTAAACATGCGGATCTATTTGAGTCCTCCTTTCTGTTCCATTAAACTGTCTCCCCATTCTCTGCTCCCAAAGCTTTGCTGCTTTGTAAGTCTGTCTTAAAATTGCAGCATGTACTTCCTCCCACTTTATTGTACTTTTTCAGAGTTGTTTTAGCTGTCCTACTTTCAGTATCCTCCCAGATAAATTTTAGAATCAGCTTGTCTGTGGCTGCCAAAAGTTCTGCTGTGATTTTATATTCTTTTGAACAAAGTAACAAGTGAGGCAAGCCAACTACACAGGCCTAATGAATAGCTTCCATTTGCAGAAGTACAAGGCTATCTTCAGTTATAAATATAGAAAAGGATGTATTTTGTATTTTGATACTTTGCAGCCATAGATAAGGAAGACACAGAGTGCATAGATTAACTGGAAAAATCATGTTTTTTATTCAGATCTTTGCTCTCCATTTGGTCAGTTTCCTGGAATAAAGCCCTTTTGTTCCTGTGAGACTAGCCTTAGCCTAGGTGTCAGGGCCTGTAAGTGGCCACTGACAGTGGGCTGCTCCAAGTGCCACTCTGTCCTCTGGGTGAACAGCACCCTTGGAGGTATGCAGAGCAGACAGGCACATGAGAAGGCGACCCAGTTGTCACAGAGGTTGACAGTACAAGTGTAGCAGCTGCAGTTATACATGTACCAAGCAACCTGCTCAGAGCTTCAGGGAGGAGATGGATTCAGACTGGGCATTTTTTTTTTTTAATATTCTACACTGCTATCATGTTTGTCCTCAAGCAAGGGGTGAGAGCAAAATGGAAAATTAAGTGAAATAAATACACAGCCAAGAACAGAATGAGCAATGTGAGCATGCCCCGTGGTTTAGGAAAGTAGGGCATCTTTTGTGACAGAAGCACCGAGGTGGGAGGACAGAAGACAAGTGATAAAAAAAAAAGTCGGGAAGATGCACTGATGTTGGTGCTGGGTGTCTGCAGCAGGAAGGGTGACTTCATCAGCATGGAAAACCAGACCCAGTTCAGAATGGCCTTCACAGTGGAGATTCAGGATCTCACAAAGCCCAGAGGTAGCACTGCTCAGGGGCTACACTCAACAGTTTGTCCTCAATGACATCATCAAGTATCCAAAACTGTTCCACCATGTTCCTTTTCACTTGTGACCAGCTGTCCACCACGTGGTTACAAATGACAGCCAGCTCTCCAGCCATCACAGCCTCACACCCCAGCCTCCAGGGACAGGAAGAGAAGCTTACCCACTCCTCCCCACAGCCTTCTCCATTTTCCTCTATCTCTCCCTTTTCCTGGAACAGTATGTTAAAAAAGAAGAAGAAGAAGAAGAAGAAGAAACGCTTTGTTATGATACAATTCAAATGCTACATAATTTTACCACTTAAAATGCTCCAGTCAGCAGTTTTTAGTATATTCAGAGCTGTGTAACCATCACCACAATCAATTTTAGGACATTTTCATATCTTACCAAAAAAAAAAGCCAAACCCACATTCTTTAGTCAACACTTTCCAGTACTCCTCTCCCCCAAAAACCTAAGCAACCATTGATCTACTTTATGTCTTTCTATGTTTGTCTCTTTTGGACATTTACTGTAAATGGAATCATATGTATTCATTCCTTCCCTTTTGTGAGTGGCATCTTTCACTGAGCATAATAAAGGTGCGTGAATCTGTACTTCACTCCTTTTTATGGCTCAGAAATCTTCTGTTGTGTGGATAGACTACCTTTTATCCACTCTTCTGTTGATGGACATTGGGGTTGTTCACTTTTTGGCTTTTATGAATACTCTATGAATAATTTTATAAAAGTGTTTATATCAACATATGCTTTAAATTATTTTAGGTATAGGTCTAGCTGTAGAATCAGTGGGGCAGGTTGTAATAACTCAATGTTTAACTTATTGAAAAGCTACCAGATTGTTTTCTAAAGGAGCTACATTATTTTACTTTCTCACTAGCAGTGTAGGAGGGTTCCAATTTCTCCACATCCTCACCAACCCTTCAATTATCTATTTGCTTCTAGCCATTCCAGTGAGTGTGAATCACATTTTCATAGTGATTTGGATTTCTGTTGCTCTCATAACGAATCATGGTCAGCATCTTTTCATGTGCTTCTTGGCCACTTGTATTTCTTCTTCAGAGGAGTGTTTCTTCTGATTTGTTGCCTATTTTTAATGAGATTAGTTATGTTTTTATTATTAAGTTGTGGAATTTTTATGTGTGTCTAGGTACAGGTTCCTAAGCAGATATAGTCTTTGCAGATATTTTCTCCTATTGTCTGGGTTGTCTTTTCACTTTTTTAATGGTATCATTTGAAACACAAATGCTGTGTGTGTGTGTGTGTGTGTGTGTGTGTGTGTGGTACTGGAGATTGAACTCAGGACCTTGCACTTGTAAGGCAGGCACAGTGCTGCTGGGCTAAATCCCCAGCCCCACAAAAGCTTTTAATTTTGACGAAGTCCAGTTTATCTCAGGGAAAGGGTGTTTGTGTTTTTGGTATTACATCTAAGAAATCATTGCTTAATCCAAAATTGCAAAAGATTCTCCCCTGTGCTTTCTTCTAGGAATTTGGTGTATTTTAAAACACAAGTTGTGTGTGTGTGTGTGTGTGTGTGTGTGTGTGTGTGTGTGTGGTACTGGAGATTGAACTCAGGACCTTGCACTTGTAAGGCAGGCACAGTGCTGCTGGGCTAAATCCCCAGCCCCACAAAAGCTTTTAATTTTGACGAAGTCCAGTTTATCTCAGGGAAAGGGTGTTTGTGTTTTTGGTATTACATCTAAGAAATCATTGCTTAATCCAAAATTGCAAAAGATTCTCCCCTGTGCTTTCTTCTAGGAATTTTTAAATCTTGGCCTTTACTTTACTTTAAGTCCTTGACCCATTCTTCACTCATTTCAGGTGATTTTTGTGTATGGTTTGAGGCAGAGGTCGAGTTTCATTCTTGGCATGTGACTCTTCACTTGTTTCAGAACCATTTCTTAAAAAGACCATTCTTTTACTGTACATGGATTTATTCCTGGACTCTTAATTCAATGCCATTAATCTGTATGTCTATTTGTCTCCCTTTACCACACTGTCTTAATTATATTTGCCTTGTAGCAAGTTTGCAATAAACATGAGCCCTCCAGCTTGTTCTTTTTCAGGCTTATTTTGGGCTTTCTGGATTCTTTGAGTTTCCACATAAGTTTCAGAATAAGCTTGTTAATTCCTACAAATAAGCAGGTGTTATTCTGATAGGGCTTATGCTGACTCAATAGCTCAGTTTGGGGAGTATTGACATCACAACAATATTAAGTCTTCCAAACAACAAAGACACAGCCTATCTTTCCATTTAATTAGATCTTTGATTTCTTTCAACATTTTGTGATTTTTCAGAATGTGTTTTACTCTTCTTTGCTAAATTTATCTCTAAGTATTTCATTTTGATTCTGCTGTAAATGAAATTGCTTTCCTAATTTCATATCATTTTATTCATTGCTTGTGGTATAAAAACACAACTGATTTTTGTTTATTGTGTCTTGCAATCAGTCTGAAAATCATTAATTATACCACACAATTATTTTTTAAATGACTGTTAGTTACACTCTCTAAGAATAACATTATTATAGGAAATTAAGTGGGCTGTCTGCCTCCCGAACACTGTACCCCTCCACAGCACAAATTTATAGCGTGTGATAATCATAACACCTTTGGAAGTGACAGCAGGACTTGATATTTCTTAGGACTCAAATCCCTTCCTAGAAGTTGGCATCCAGAAAAACAAATAATCAGAACAGGGACATAAAGCTTCCATGCCTGATTTGTTTCCATTTTTTAAAACTCCGTTATTTAAGGGTAAGGGCAATTAAGGCATTTTGTTTTTATATATAGTGTGTAATTGACATGGGTCTTAGATGGGTATCTAAGTCCTTAAGAATGCACTGTCCTTATGAGTGCCATTTTGGAAAATTCATGTTCCAAGGTGAACAAGCCATGGCAGATCCAGTACCTTAGGGAGATTCTGTACTGGATGGATCCACTCACAATAGCAGAAACTTGGGGTAAGCCATGACTGCATGAAACATTTCATTATTATGTGGAGGTCTACATTAGTCAGCCTCATAGGTAGATTTTCTAGCACAGAAATCTAGTTTGATTTTTACATTAGATAAAATGCTAGACTATTGAAAATTATAGGATTTCTTTAGTGAAACACAAGGAATACTCCTAAAGACATTCTTGCAGTTTGGTCTCATGATAAAGTATGAAGAATAGCTTGATTGCTGCCTGTAAGAAGAAAAGCATCTTTCAGAACATTTCAAATAGAGTGATAGCAGAAAGTCTAGGCCTTAGCTCAGAGGTAGAACACTTGCCTAGAGTGTGGGAGGCTCTGGGTTTGATCCCCAGCATGGGAGGAGGGGGGATTTGGAAAAACGATAGTAGGTATGGGTACATAATTGAAACAGATCTTACTAAGTGGGCTGTCTGCCTCCCGAACACTGTACCCCTCCACAGACTCAGCCGGCCGTTACTGAGCCCAGACCACTCCCCAATCCTCTCATCTGCCTGCTATGGACGCCGTATTCCACTGATTCAAACGGCTGCAGCAAGTCATCTTTGGTCTCATAACTTATGAGAAGAAACAAAATATTAATCACTGTAAATACTTACAAAGATGGAGAGGAGAGAATGTGGATTTTTCTAAGAAGTTTTTAAGAGTTTTTAAGTTTTGTCTTTAAAAGCAAATTTGTTATAGCAGATAGGAGATTTGTTTCCTTCTTCCATTCCTACACCTTAAAGGGCAAGAACATCCTCTCCAAGTTTTCCATCTAATGTCAGTCTTTCTTCTTGTTTCCTCCACCCCTAGCATATTCCTCTGCAGACACTGTTGAAATTCATGGTGGACATTGCCCTGGGAATGGAGTATCTGAGCAACAGGAATTTTCTCCATCGGGATTTAGCTGCTCGAAACTGCATGTAAGATCCAGGACCATCTTGGCGGGTGTTGGACCTTATGGTTGTTTGACCTTTGTGAAACTGGGGGAGATAACCTACTGCTGTGAAAATATGGAGGGAGATCTGGAGGTATAGCTGGGTTCAACCCCCAGTACTGCCAAAGTTTTTAAAAAAATAAAAATGGAGAAAAGCTGGTTTGGGAAGGAACAGTGTGGCTTGCTTGGGGTGGAATTTCTGTGGCCCTGACTGGTTAGGGTTTTGCTTGGGGGTCTTCATTGTCTCTGCCTCCAAGAGTCTGGTTAGCATCTAAATCTTTGTCCTGTGATTACTTTTTTATTTTCGCTCTCTCAGCTACATGTACTAGATATGATCTTTGTGACCCTCAGCTAGCTTTGCACCCAGAGTTATGTTAAGTGTTATCACAGCAATAATAAGTAATGACCTACATAACTTAAGGGACCCTGCTAAAAGTTGTGAAGATTTTGTTCCACTTCTCTCTGAGGCTTCCTTGTAAAGAACTTTCATACCGTGAGTATATGTGGGAAAGCTTTGTGCATACACCAGGCAAAGGCTCGTTCTATGAGAACTTGGGTCTTCAGTTCTCCAATGGAGAACTGAAGGAAATGAAGGAGCCATTATGTCTGGAAGCCTTTGAAGACAATACCTATTTCTCCCTTTTAAGCTTTTAAGCTTACCGTTGCTAGAAGTGTTGCTTGAGTGTATTGTCATTGTTTAAAGTAGCACAAAACTTTCTTTTCCGTGAATTAAGAAAAAACTAGTAGTATAGATAAAACAAATTAGCATATGTATTGAAATATTGTTGCAACAACAGAATAGAGAAATTGGGGAATTATTTGAACTTCTCCCTACTTCCTACTTCTCTATCTTCTATTTTGCTCTTTATTTATGTGTTTAATACTTTGAGTTTACCATCTAAGAGAAGGCATGCGATATGTAATCTTGTGTTGGCCTTATTTCACTTCACATTATGTTCTCATTTCTTTTTCTTGGTCGGAGATGTGGCCGTGGAGCCTGTCACTCCCTCCTCTCAACTTCCCTCCATGACTTTTGCCTTTCACCTCATTTTTTAAAGTACCAGAGGGGTTGTTGCTTTTAAATATTTTTCTGCTATGGAGGGAAAACTCATGAAAACTTTTTTTTCTTTTCATATTTAAAATTTCCTTCGTATTTTTCCCCACCAGGTAGGGTGACCAACTGTCCAGTTTATCCTGAGAGATTTCCCAGGATGTGGGACTTTTAGTTTTAAAAATCATTATCAGGCAGAAGCTGGATGTAATGACATATACCTATAATCTCAGCACTTGGGTGGGAGGCAAGAAGGCAGGAGGCTCAAGACCTCAAAGCAGTCCTAAAGACTCAAAAACAAGTTAATGTCAAGCAAACAGGAACAAGCTAGTGACCTACCTCCTGTTCTCCACCTCCACCTCCATCTTCTCCTCCTCCGTCTCCTCCTCCTCCTCCCATTCCTCTTCCTCATGTTTTTCTCCTGTCCCTCTTTCCCCTCTGCTCTTCTTTTTCTCCTTCTTGTCAAGGTTCTGTTTTTTTTGGTTTTGGGGGGTTTTTTGGACTGGGAATCAAACTCGGGACTTTGCACTTGCAAGGCAAGCAGTGGAATCACTGAGCTAAATCCCCAACCCCGTCAAGGATCTGTTTTAATACTTTGGACTGTAAGTAATTATGTTGCTTTACTTTTCCACTTAATCCCTCAATCATTCACTTGGCCACCTCAGCAAGCAGCCCCCATGTCCTACTCCAGCCTGTGTTTTCCCTCCTCCCCCAGCCTGCCCGGGGTTCCATTAGTTCACAGAACCAAAGCCTCTTCCAGACGCCAGGCCAGAGCACTCCTGAGCAGTAGTTCAGTCCACAGAGGGTCGGCATCAGTCCACATGGAGCTGCTGCTCCTCCTGCTCCTGCCACATTACGTCTGTGTCCCCTCAGTGTCCCCAGCTGCTGTGCCTGGTGACCCTTGCTGGGCCTGTGCCCACACAGACCGGAGTGGCAGAGATAGTAACTGCCCCGCCCTATCACTTAGTATAAATGTTTCAGGCTGCATCTCATATAGACCTGCAACTACAGGCTTTGCTTCTGAGGTTGCTGAGGACAGGAACTGGCTCTCTGTAGGTTGCGAGATGACATGACTGTCTGTGTGGCCGACTTTGGCCTCTCTAAGAAGATTTACAGCGGCGATTACTACCGCCAAGGCCGCATTGCGAAGATGCCTGTGAAGTGGATTGCCATAGAGAGCCTCGCAGATCGAGTCTACACGAGTAAAAGTGACGTGGTGTGTACATGGCTTTGATTTTGGGTCCCTCTATGCAGAGGTGGGGGCACACAGCAAGAAATGTTGGTGGTGACATTCAAAAGATCTGTGTTTTTCATAGGACTGTCATTAATTCCCCCCCTCTAATGCTATAAAAGGTCTAACTGCCCACTACTTAAAATATGTCACATCCACATAATTTGAGAGTGTATCATCCAGTGGCTCTTTGAAACTATATGCTTTATTAGAGGTGATGTGTAATCACGCGGTTGGCCCGAGAAAACTCGTCACAGCAGTGAAGCAGAGCATTAAGCAATGCTAATGTGAGACGAGGCTATGTCTGCCTTTATCAGATTTCCCAGAACAGTTTCGTAAAAATGGGGAACTGTGATACTCCAACCCCACATTGCTGCCATGTTGGGACAGTAGTGGGTCTCAGACATAATTGCTGGCTTTGTACACAGTCATCCGGGCTTTAAGGCAGTGACCTTTCCTGAAGAAAAGGTCCATTCAGCCTTGGTGAAAAGACTTGCATCCTAACTTGTTGTTGTTGTTCTCAGTGGGCATTTGGCGTGACCATGTGGGAAATAGCAACGCGGGGAATGACACCCTATCCCGGAGTCCAGAACCACGAGATGTACGACTACCTTCTCCATGGCCACAGGCTGAGGCAGCCTGAGGACTGCCTGGATGAACTGTGAGTGAGCATCTCTGTGCCTCTGGGTGTCCCGCATGGGCAGCCACTTGACTCTGCAAAGACCTGAGCAGCACACAGCCACTGGGGAACCGGGGGCTGTTAGCCAGGTGGCCATGTGCAAAGAGTGGCACCTGCAGACATTTGAGGTGCTTTTTAAGCACCTCTGGGAAGTGTAGCTATCAGTAAATCGGTTTAGTGTATAGTGGGTGAGGTTTTGGAATGATTTTCTACCTCCCTTGGCTCCCCTTATCCTTCTCATTGTATACACCATTTCAGACATGCCTATCTCATTCATATCCTTCATCAAGAAACTTGGAAATCAGGCTGGTCATCAGAATTGCTTGGGGACTATTCTAACAGTGTGGCTCCTTATCTTGTACCTGAGAGCATGATGCTCTTGGTATAAAGTGAGCCTAGAAATGAGTTGTAAAATGCTCTCTGGAAGACAGTACTCCACCAGATATGAGTCCAGGCAGAGCCCTCTCTATCCTCAAGGCTGGATGTGATGGACAAGAGACCCACTCCCCAGGGAGGACAAGCCAGGTTCTGCCTCCTAACCAGCCATATGTGTGGCCATGGTAGCTGATTTAACCTCTCTGTGCCTCGTATTATCAGCCACAAAAGTAGTACAGTGGTATTTTCTCCAGAAAGCTTTTGTAAAAAAGGTTGAATAAAGAAGTGTATGGAATGTTCAGCCTTTAGGAGTACACAAAGGACATGCTCATGAAATAATCCCAGTTGTTATTAGCGCCATTCCAAAGTGCTCTCTCCCAAGCACCTTGCTGCCTCTTCATAAGTGTCTTGTAATGTTGCCTGTGTCTTAGTGATGTGAACCTGTCCTGTTGGCGAGTCTTCTCCCTGCATAATAAGGGGCCTAGGCTTGTAGAGGAGCATTCTTGCCACACTTGGTGTGATTAAAAAAAAAGTACAGTGATGGTGATTTTTAAAATTTTAACATAATAAATAACACATCATCTCAATCCTATTCCTGCTTGCTTGGAACATACTTGTCCGATTGTTCTTACCGCTTTGCAAAGCAGCTCTAGAACTCCTCTTCCATAGGTGTCCTTAATTTCGCTGTCATGTCTGCCTCAAGGTTCTGAATCAATTCAAAAGGTTTACTTTTTACGGTCATTTTGACTTTGGGGAAGATTCAGAAGTTGACTTTGACTTTGCTGAAGATGCTAGACTCAGTGAATAAGGTAGAAAGAGAACTTCCAGAACTGCTCCAGAAAGTGTCAAAGATGATGTTATAAGTGTGTTTGAAATGGGGGGCATGGTGTTCCTAGGGAGGATTCATAGCAGTGCCTCTTTTGCTGTATTTTTTTACAATTTAAACATTCTTTGTATATGTTTAATATTAAACAGAAACAAACACTGAAAACCCCTTAAAAACATCTTGAAATGCTTATTAAATTAGTTCTAGGGTTTTACAGTAGTTTTTTAAAGGGCTGTGTTTGCTTCTGAAAATGAGGAGGACTTTCCATCAAACAATGTGTACCGAGAAGAGCTCTGTTGTAGTTCCTTCTCCACCTTCCCAGTACACTGAAAGTTCACATTTGCAGTGATGAGCTTGGGTCCTAGCAAGGTCTGAGCTGCATCACATTGTGATTTTTAGATGTTTTACAGAAACCCAAACAAGGGAATGCTGATTCTGTGTTCTTTGAGATGGCTAGTTGGCAAGAGTGGCGGAGTCAGCACCCTTGTTGTGTGTGACTGGGGAGCCAGGCAGATGCAGACAGCCTAAATTCTCCATATTCCTGCTGGCCCCACCCCTGCAGAGGCAGCTGTGGCCAGCGCCCTGGTGAACAGACCTTCTTCCTGGTCTCAGCTCGCATCTGGATGCTGGCAAGCAACATCTTCCCCAGAGAAGGCTCTGCGCTTCCATTGCTAGGGCATTTCCTTTTAAAAAACGAAGTGAATGCTCTGCCTGCTGTCTGGGATTGCTGTGTAAACATAGCTGAGATGAGCTCACTCCTGTGCTTTGTTGCCCTTTGGTTTTTCAAGTCAACTCTGTGAAGTAGAACAGTGTCACTCATAGAGCCCCTTCACACCCTGCTGTCGGACCCTGTCTTGGGGGCGCACCTCCTCGTAGCACCACCCCCATGTCAGAGTGACCAAGCTGCTCTGCACTGTCCTAGGTGCCACTCTTTACTATGTCTTTACCCGCTTTCGTGGGACAGTGCCCCGCTGAGTTCACCTCGGCCTTGCAACCCTCAGGACCCTCCCCACCACCTGGCTGCATGTTCCCAGCAATGGCTCTAATTCCCTTGTCCTTGGGAGCTGCCTTGTTCTTCCTTTGCTCCCCTGAGTCCCATCAGCCAACAGATATCATTCTGAGCCCCCTATTCTTCTGTTCCCATTGCTGATGCTGCCAAATGTAGGATGCCAGGACTCCCACTCATCACAGTGGTAGCTGGCAGAAGGGACTGGGTGAGTGGGATGGTGTGGGTCCTTTGACTCTCCCTTCTCCTCACCCCCAGGCTTCTAGTACATTGCTTGGGTGGCAACTGCGGTGACCTCTCTCACATTATAATCAGGCTAGGATTAGCTCAGCAGTAGACCCTGGGTTCCATCCCAGAACTACAACTAAATACATAAATAAATAAAATTATTATATGATCATAGCATGCTTCTAGACATAATCAACCTGTAGTTCCCGTAGAGTAAACCTGGAGTTGTCAGGATCTGACCTGTTAGCCGATGTGGCTGAATGGCTATGAAGCCGGACTTTGGACCAGGTAGCACTGGATTTAGGAGGTAGATGCAGCCCATGCTGGGGCATGGCATCACCCTGTTAGGCTCCTCATCCATAAAACGGGGGTGAGATAATGTGTGGTCAGTGGATGTGCTAGCTGAGAAGCCAGGGTCCAGTGAAGTATTTTTGTGTTCTTTTTGCAGTACCAGGGATTGAACTCAAGAACTTGCACTTATGAGACAGGCGCTGTACAACTAAGCTAAATCCCTGGCCACTAGTGAAGAATTTTGCGTTATGGCTCAAAGTCGATGTTGAATCAGGGCCCTGGTTGCTCGTGGACTAGCTCTGCCCCTGGCTGTTAGTGGGTCTTTCCCTGTCTTTCTCTTCTCCAAGCCTCAGCTGCCTGCTGGGCAGGGGCCTGGATTTCTTTCCCAGCAGCACTGCTGTGAGGTGTAAATGCTCTACACAACAGGATTCCTGATAATGTCCCCATCTGTGTCACCACCTAGAAGCTGGAGCTAAGAATCAGGGGCTCCTTCCTGGGGCTCCCCCAGAGGCTCTCTGCCACTTCTCACAGCTCTGCCCTTGTGATCCATGCACCCCCCCCCACTTACACACATGCACCCTGTGCCAATCTCAGATTTCCTGCATCTGGGCATTGAGGGCCTGCAGTATTGCTTGGCACAGGGCTAGATGTGTCTCAGGCCGCTGCCCCCTGTTCTTGGAGGGCCCTAGCTCACAACTTGCTCCACTTCTAGGAAGCCCCCCTCGACATACTGATCTGCCCATCCCTCCCCTTCCACCTGACGCAACCCAGGCTCAGAAAACGAAAAGGTGAGAGTCTCAGTTGGCCAGAGAGCAGCTAAAATCAGACACTGGCATGGCGCACAGCCCATACAAGGTGGGCGTCCTTTCTTGGAGCAGACATGCAGTGTTGCACACTGCCACCCTGTAATCGGAGAGCGTTCTTTAAAATTGAGGTTAGATTACACAGCATAAAATTTTACAATCTAATGCACTTTGTGTGCACTTCAGTTCCGCCAAGTGCATTCACACTGTTGCATAACCATCACCACAATCCATCTGCAGAACTCCTTTTGCACAAATCAAACTCTCTACCCATTGAGTAACCCCCTCAGCAGCTATATAATTACATTGTCTTTTCTTTTTTGGTACCGGGGATTGAACTCAGGACCTTGAGCTTACAAGGCAGGCAGCAGAACCACTGGGCCGAATCCCCAGCCCTGATTACATCTTTTACAAAGTGTCAACAGAAAAACAAAACTGACCATTTACAATGGCAATTACCGAATTTATTTTTCCTTCCATAAAATTTAAATCACTAAACATTCCAGCCCTCTTATTACCTAACAGGTGCAGGACCTTCTGTTAATCACCTTGGATCACCACTGTAAAATTGCCCATATATAAAATTGCCTGTAAAACAGTATATGCTTACTGTGTCTTAAAAAGTCATATTTATATTTTATAAAGTTATCGAACATAAAATGAAAGTAAATATCAAAGTCATGTGACTATTATTCTAGGTGAAAAAAATATATAGAATGTTTAAACACTTTCTTCTAAGATGTGGAATAAGTAAAAATAAATTAAATGGCAATGAAAAGGACATTATGTCCCCACGGACTGAATTTCTCAAAGCTCATCTCAGACTGCAAACAATCATGGCTCTGTGGAAAACAAGGAGTCATGCAAAATTGATTTACACCATGAAAACCTCAAAAGCAGAAACGAAAATTGTTTGCCAAGCCTAAGTGACCATCTACTGAGGTTAAGACCAGAAAATGAAAGAGATCTCCTATACTTCAAATGACACTCAGGACTGTGATGCCGGGAGTCATGCCTGCGACTGTCGCCGTGTCCTGAGTTTATGAGGTTCCATCCCTTCCTGTGCATGGCACTTGTAGGGTTCCCACCTCTTGAGTGTGAGTGAGTGTTGATAGAGACTGAACAAGTAGACAAATGAAAGGAGAGCATAGAGGTCTAGATGGTTGGGATCTGTTGTGGATAAAGCACCATGTAATGGTAGAATTAGCCAAAGAATTTTTAAGTGTAAATATGGGACTTGCATATTTCTGTTCATAAATACCAATATGGCATACATTTAAATTCGGGTCATTTTTAAAAATCCAGTGGTATTAAATATCAATTTCTCAAAACAAAAAAGGATCAAAATGAAATGATGGTGTAACTCACTCCTTTGCTCAGCTAGAAATTCTTAATTGTCATTTCTCTGTCTTATTGTGCTCCCTTGTCGACCCTCCTTTGTAGTTACTTTGTAGATACTCCATTCGATACACCTGCCCTCCACATGGCACCCCAGGTCTTGGCTTTCCCAACCCTAGTGATACCAGCGCCCCGTCTAACTCAGCTCCCTTGATCACAGCCCAGTTTGATGTATACTGTAGAGGTCAGCAAACATTTTTTGTAATGCGCCAAATAGTAAATATTTTTGGCATTGTGGGCCTCTTGTACAACCATTGGAGCAAAAGTAGTCACGAGACACAAAGATATAGTTGTGTTCTAATAAAACAGCGTTTGCAAAGCAGTCAATGGAACCGATTTATTGATGGGCCGTAGTTTGCTAAACTCTGTATAAATGAAGGGACCACCAGGCATGATGACGCATGACTATAATTCTAGCACTTAGGGAAGCTGAAGCAGGAAGATTTCAAGCCAAGTCTGGGCAACTTAGGGAGCCCCTGTCTCAAAATGAAAAAGTGAAGTGAAAAGATCTGGGATGTAACTCAGTGGTAGAGCACCTGTGGGTTGAATGCCAAGTACTGGGAAGGAAGGAGGGCAGGAAGGCAAGAAGGAAGGAATTTTAACGATTCATTATATGCAAAGGGTAGGTGTAATTACCAAATATCCTCTTTCCTTGGAACCAGAATCACTTTCTTGTCAAATGCCCAAGGAACATTTACAAAAGTTGAATAGAAATTAAGCCACTATAAAGAAAAATCCCAATAATTTTCATCAAAAGTAGAATGAATGCTGATTACAGTGTGATTAAATTAAAGATTAGATGAAGACAAAGGGGTGGGAGCGCCCGAGGCAGTGATGGTGAACCTTTTAGGGCTTTCAGTGATAACAAATAGCCCTAAGGGCACTGGGTCCCATGCCTGGAGACATTCACCTTTCCTTCACTTTCAGGTACGAAATCATGTTCTCCTGCTGGAGTGCAGACCCCTTGGACCGACCCACCTTCTCAGTGCTGAGGCTGCAGCTAGAAAAGCTCTCAGAGAGTTTGCCTGATGCACAGGACAAATCAGCTGTCATCTATGTGAACACCCCATTGCCAGAGAGCTGTGACGGCCTGGCTGAGGGCCTGGCACTTGCTCAGCTGGACATGAACATCGACCCCGACTCCATCATTGCCTCCTGTACCCCCAGTGCAGCCGTGAGTGTGGTCAAGGCGGAGGTCCATGAGAACAAAGCTCAGGAAGAAAGGTACATCCTGAATGGAGGCAGTGAGGAGTGGGACGATCAGGCCTCCACATGCCTGGCTATAGCCCCAGAGGACAGACTTGGACAAAATCGTGGCTCATGGTCCCACTGTAGCACGCTGCCCTTGGGCAGCACATCCCCAGATGAACTTTTGTTTGCCGATGACTCCCCAGAAGAGTCAGAAGTCCTGATGTGAGCCGAGCAAAGTGAAGATGTGCCAAGCCCAAGTGCCTTCTCCTGCCTTAGGAGGATCCATTTCTGCCTAATGTTTTTATTTGAACTTTGTTTGAGGTATGGGAGATTGAGCCCAAGGCCTTCTCACTAAACTGCATCCCCAACCCCCAGCCTCTTTTCTTTTAGTTTTTTGAGAAAGGGTCTTGGTGAATTCCCCAGGCAGAACTCAAGCTTACACTCCTCCTGCCTCAGCCTCCCAAAGTCCTGGGATTATAAGTGTGCACCACCAATCCCAGCTGCCGGATGCTTTTTGTGCAGTATTTGTTTTCTTAACTAAGGAAATTCCATGGTCCCAGAGCATCTTCTGAATGTCATCAAGTAAGTCTCCATTAAAAACAAATAATAGGGTTTGGGGTATAGCTTGGCACTAGAGTGCCTGCTTTGCAAGTACAAAGCCCTAGGTTCTGCTCCAGCACCATAAAAAATAAAAATACATAATATATTTATTTAAAGAGA